CCAGTATCGGCTTCTCGGGTAACCTCAGAGCTCACCAACGATGGCGACACCCGTAATAACTCATATCATTGTATCATAGCTGAATGATCGTCATACTTGATTCCGAGTGACAGCAAAGTAGTTGTAGTAATGTGTGTGTGAAAGCAGGTGTACTGTAGGTGGGTGTATATGGAACGTGCATAGATCAAGAAGCTCTTAGTAGATGTTGAGAGTAGATGTGGGGGTGAAAGTGGGTGTTGGGAACAGTTGTGGACGGGGTGTATTGGTGTGAGGAGAACTGGAGGCATTGAATGGGTGTTAATCATTTAAAAAACACATCACCTGCCCAAGAGAATACAATGGGTAACTGCAGATTTAACCCCTCGCTATTATTTTTTCATTACGACTTGTAGCCAAACAATTTAATGAGAGTGTTTATGTTAAAACCCCACACAGAGTAATGAAGTTTTATCGCTTCGGGGAAAAAAAAAAGTGCAAAACGTTTCTCGCCATAATCAGCAAAAAGTAATTATCGTTTCTTGTTACAACCAAACACACAAACATTGAAAACATACATACGAGTATATCCCTGTGTATGGTGGCTGGTTAATGGGACCCGGATCTAATAGGTTAAGTTGAAGGCCCTATTTGATCTACAACTGTGTATTTTATAACGAATAAAAGTATTTTTTTTTTTAACAGTTTAACTTTTGGTGAACTCAATTAGGAGCCTCGTGTGTGTCAGTAAAACTAATCACATTCTTATTCACAACATTAGTATCAATATCACGAACTACAGCAACACAGAGGAACAAAGCCAGACACCTCCAGGCATAGAATATATAAATTACATGCATTAAACTTCACGAACAATGAGAATTTCTGGGTAATTCCACTCAAACGAATTCGAGGCGGACGATCATAATGCCTGTGTAGTGTGAAGGGAGAGAAAACCTTCATAATTTTGTTGTTTAGTTTACAAAATAAGACAAAGTAAAATATGAATAAGGACTCTGCATGGTGGCTGTTGGAGCACCGAGAACTAAAACAACAAACAGACAGACACACGGGTTGAGGATAAACTAAATGGCCCGTCTAGTACTGAGTGGGGCATAACAAAAAATAAGTCTATCCAAAGAAACGTATAAGTGATGTGTGTGTGTGTGTGTGGAGGCCATCAGGGTAATGGGGATTTAACTAGTGTTAACGTGGCCATCTCCACCCTTATGACCTAATGAATATCCTCTTAACGTGGTGAGGGGAGACAAGGACCCGAGGAGGGCGGGACCTGCTGCTGCTTGCGGTGTCCTGCGCCTTAGAAGACACAGGTTCCTCCTTTGTATTGTGGTGTGTGTGTGTGTGTGTGTGTGTCTCGGTTTTATTCGCTCGTCAAGGTACACGATTTTTTGTAGGAGTTTAACAAAAGGCTCTCCCCCACGATTTTGTTTTTCGTCAATTTTTTCCAGAGATCCACATTTTTGTTTTTGTTCCTTCATCTGCTAGGACTATTAACACCTGTCGTCTCTTGTTGAAGAAATAAGTGACACATTAGATTATATCAAGGGTTATCACCACACACCTGGATGAATAACAGCAGGTGTACTTAAGAACCAGGTCAGGGAGGATCAAGTTGACCTCCACACGTCACAACCACACACCTGTTGTTGTTATTACCTCGTCGCCATGGTAACGGGAATCATGGAAATATTACCTGTGTTTTTTGCCTCATTCAAACAGGAGTTCTGTTTTATACGACACAAGTAACGCCATGAAAAAGTTTGTAAGTTAAAAATCAAACAACTTCTTTCCCATTATTTTTACTCAAAGATTCAGCGTATTTATTTCTTCATTATCTCAGTATTTCAGCAACATACGAATAAGTGTAAACATAAGTAGCTGTAATACGAATAGTTGTTCGACTGACCCACACGATTCCGATAAGATTCCAACTAATAATAACTGAATCTGATTCCCTTTACTTTTTGTTCAGGGTTCAGTAGTTTGTGAAAAATCGGCGACCTGAGATCATATTTTTCATGCATTAACCACACAAATATTTTATACTTGTGCTGTTAGTTGGGAAATAAGTAAATTGAAAATCATACAATTGGACAACTACAAATCTTGAGAACGGAATTCACACAAGAAAAACAGCTTCTAGTAAACAACAACCATTAAGTCTGGTATTCGTCAGTTGTAAGGTGTGTTGGAGTGGTCAGTGGTCACCTCACCTCTTGTGTGATGATGTGTGGATGACAGTGTTTGCTTGGTGAGTGTAGCGGGCGGTAGCGGTGGCGGTGGTGGCTGCTCCCAGAACTCTTGACGCCAACCTTACCCCATTGTTCCTTCGTCTGTCTATGAATATTTGGTTAGACTTTATAACTTAACCATTATGATGTATTTTACCAGCACCTGAAGATTAACAACCCTGAAGTTACCTGGGGTTTAGGTTAATTTCACTCAGGGTAGTTAATCTTCAGGTAGTCCGCATCATCTACGAGTATTTCTCCCAGCTTACTCCAGCTTGTTTCCCTTGACTGTTCATGATCAGTGAGAAACATTCAGGATGAAGCTTGATAATATTCTTCAATCTGTTCCTGATCTCTAGACTGTAGTTGTTAGGCAGGAACAGGCTGGCTGATCAGGCTGTCATTCCGGATGGTTGGTCGCTGGAGTAGAAGCTGCCCGAGTTATCATCACAAGGTACACTTCATACAGTAGTTCCTTCATGGGCCCGTCCAGTAGCCACTAAGATCAATTTACTTTGAGTCAACTTGTACATAACTTTGTGTCATCAACCTCCTCCGTATTGTCTATCTTTAATTATCCACCACAGAACACAGCCGAGATAATGTCATATTTGTTGTGGTTCCTCATCACTTCTGCCACTCCCTTACGTTCAACATTTCAGATCGCAGAGAAAACAAGATTCGATGACACAGTCCCACCATCTCCAACTCCCTGAAGACACAAAGATGATGGTCACCTGCCTCCACACCTCACACGACCTCCTGTAAACCGCTATACCGAAATGAAAAACTCAGCTTATACGAACGAAAAATTGCAACTCTATGGTTTGAGTCATCGAGTTCCTTCAGTTACCCCTCAAGGTGTTAGGTGGTATGATGACACAGTTTGTAATGAGGTATGTGACTCCCTGCCATAACTATTATAGCCTCACTAGACGAGCTGCTTTTTATGTTATGTTTTCAGTCTTCGTTCACAACACAGTCGTCTAAGGATAAAAATGCGCGTGGTCTTTCAAAGATACTACAACGTTATGTGAGTTTCCAATACTTTTTCGAAACATAAAACGGCAAAATAAAAAATAAATCATAAACTCGTACACAATATTTATCATCTATAGTAACTCATAAATTCAAAGTTTTTAAATTCCCCAAATAAAATATAAATATAAATTAATATTGTGGCAGGAAGACGCGAGATAGGGTTACCGTCAACATCAACAAGTGTCGGCTGCTGTTTTGTTGACGCAGCTCACCCATCTCCATCATTACTGCTGTACAGGTATTCACATCTTTCTTATTATATAACTGTTGTTGCTATTAACGCTGTTGAGGAGACAGTCTAGGAGATATATACTGTAAATAAGTCAAAGGTGTTTATTGTCTGATACATTCCTGACTTATAAATATATATCTCCATGTCGTGGTACAGTTACGCTCTTCTTTCTTCTCAATACAGCCTCGCTAGTCTCCTTAGATTAAGTTTGGGTAGCTGATGAGGACGGTGAGTTAGTATAGGTTGATTCTGTGATCAGGTTTGGGTAATATTTTACTTTAACCGCCGGAATATTTCGTCTTTTCGGAGAATTCCATACGGAAATACTTTGAATATTTTTATGTACTCTTCAGACCCCTGGATGTGTTGTCAGAAGCGAACGTGCGGCATTGAAACAAATAGTTAGATAGATAAAGAAAGGATAGAAGGCATATGAATGTATAGTTATTTTTGTACCTTATATAAATGATCTGTGAACTACTAACGTACAGGTCTTGACTATGTGTGGTGTAGATTAGTGACGTGTGTTGATTACCGTAAAGTGAGTCCCAAGCAGTATTTGTCACGACCCCCTTATATTATATTTTATCTATCTGATATCGTGTCTGACAAACAGTTCTATTTATTTCTTCTTTATCCTTTCCCATTATAGTGTGTAATTCAGTCATGTCGCCGATCCTTGCTTGCCCCTTCGACTCCAATAAGCTATATAGCAGTCACAAACTGAATATTTTAACATAAAGTTTGAGTGCCGAAGATCTCTGTACTTACCATATTCGTTGTTTATCATCAGCATCCCTACATCATCCTGCCCAGCACGTAAACATTACAGTGACCCTCCCTCAGTTTTGTTTTGTCGGTCTTAACTCATCTGGAAATTCTCTTATCAATTCCAAATTACTCGTCAACAATGGAATTTTCATCAGTTGCGCATACAGAAACAGTCATGCAGGCTTTGATCGTGATATTATTCCTTCAGTTCCCTTTTATTATCTGTGTTGCTTCTAGGCTGTGTTTGTGTGAGGTACATACACCACACCAGCGACACGTCCCTTCCCTCCAACTCTTTCAATATATTTCTTTATCCTCCCGGCACTGCCACACTCTATTATTTCACACATGATTTAGTCCACATCAGCTACTTACTACTCTAATCATTGTTATCTCATTGTTGTTGATGTGGTGTATAGTGACCACACTGACGATCTTCTTGTTTACATCTGTCTGTCAGCAGAACTTCCTCCCTCACTCTTAACTCTAAGATTTATCAGTTTCATACGTTCACAACCTCAGTCTTGTGTTAAGCTGCGTCAAAGTAGTACAGATGGGGTGGTACATATTACAGTGTAACTTACTATGTTAAAAACACGTCCCCAAAAGTACACGTATTTTATGTAAGTGTAGATTTGTCAGTACTATGTATGTAGAGACTTGTTAAGAGATGGGTTTTAAGCAGTGATAGTGATTAAGCTTATTTCTTGAAGGTGAAGAAACTCCAGTTTATTAATAACATCACTTTATTCTTGACCCTTCAATATACAATACATACAATACTCTTATCATTATTTACAAAGGGCACACACTCATAGATTTGTCATTGTGCAAGGGACTAGAAATAAACTTGAAGTATCTCTGTGTGAAAAATTACATTTATCTTGACAATAACTGTACACAGAAAAGGCTAGCTAGTCATGCTGACTTGGTTGTCTGCTATTCACACTGATCTGACAAACAAACTATCCACACACGATCCCGACAAACTAGCTCATCCTGGCTGGTCACACGTCCAAAATTTATAAACACATTTCACATACACTTGTTCCACGAAGCATCAAGTCGAGAGAGTGAGGGGAGGGGAGTACATGATGCTACAGTACATACCAGGGGGTGGAGGGCTGCACTGGTCGGGGTCACTCAGGGAGGTTGTCACCTTCCTCAACGTGAAGAAAGAAAATCGTCCTCATGGAGGGAAAATTAATGGAGGGAGTCGTTGACGAAGACACGGAGGGACTCGTTGACGGGGGAGTAGACGCATGGAGGAATAACTCGGAACGCGTGACTAAAGGGGAGTATGGAGGAGACAAGAGGAAGAAAGTAAGAGAGAAAACCTGGAATAAAATTTAGAGACAGTAGCAAACGTAGAAGAAAAAAAAAGGAAACAATGCGGCCACAGTTTAAATACTTAAAAATATCTATAGTTTAACAAAAAAAAATAGTATATGAAGAATGAAGAGAAGTGAGACATGAGGGACAGACGGTGGTGGAAACTATAAAAACGTCACTGAAATCAGTCGGTGGTTCAGATAGTAACAAGGTTTATCAATAAGAAACGGCAGCCAAATGTCGCGATAACAGTATTAAACACTGAGATGCAGTGTTAATGTTTTACATTTGAAACTTAATGAAGAAAGAGACAGTATGGTGGAGGTGAAGAGAGTGATAATGTTGGTGGGGCTTCAAGAGATAAGCGGATAAATATATCGTTTTCTAAGTGAAATTCCGACATGGCTGCCTGTCAACGCACGGGAGAGGCGGCGGATGCACAACCTGAAGAACTACTGGGGAGAGATGGCTGTTGTGTGGTTTCCCACTTGTGTCTCGCCTTGTGGGTGCTCCTGCCCCCTGCCACGCCCTCGCCGCCTCCTGGTGCACCAGCCTCGTTATGACTGAGACTTGTAGGGCGGCGAGGGGTCGGTAAAGAGTGGCTGCTGCAGTTTGTTATTCCGAGGCGGGCTGGGGTTGTGGCTCTGTGGGGGGAGGCGAGGGAAGCCTGCTGTGGTAGGTAGGACAGCCTCCGTCCCCAGACCGGTACCTGTGTCAAAGGCTACTGAGGGTGGCAGATGCGGCAAGTGGGCTCCTGGCTGATTCAGGTAGGTCACGACGCGCCGCAGCTCCTCGATAGCATTGGACTGCATCAAGATGAAGTTCTTAGCCAGTAAGAGCGTGGCGATCTTAGAGAGCTTCCTAACGGAGGGGGAATGAGCATAGGGAATAACAGAGCGCAACTCGTCTAGTGCGTCGTTCAGGTCGTGCATCCGTCGCCGCTCCCGTGCATTAATAGAGAGTCTCACGTGTTTCTGCTGACGAACTTTCTTCCCAGTGGACGTGAGGGCTCCCGCCTGGGAACCCGGGCCGCGGGAGGTATCATCGTCACTGCACGAGCCACCGGTGCCGTCATCGCGGGGATCCCTTTCTTCCTTGACGGGAGGCGACCCGCGACCACTGGCGGGATCCTGGTTCTCTATGTTGCCGGCCATAGAGTGGTCTAGCTGCTGGAGGGAAGGTAGGCTCCGTGGGACTCCCGCTTCGTCCTGACCGGCCGCCCCGGCCATGTCCCGCGGTAGGTCCCGTGACACCATCTGGCTGCGGTTGAGACCCAGAAGGTCATTACGCAGTAGCTGCTGCATGGAGTCACGGGCGGCAGTGTGGTCGTCTCTGGTTTGGGCGTGGTGGGCGTCGCGGTGATAGTAGGGCGTGGGCGTGGTGGGGTCATGGTCGGGGCGGCGGGCGGGGCCGAGCTGGGAGGCGGGGCGCATGTCCCCGCCCATCAGGTGCTGCACCCCCAACATGGCCGGGTACGGGAAGGCGCTCATCATGTCTGTCGGCAATAACAACAACAACCTTAGTTACTGCCCTAATCTATACTTGTAACCCTACACACCTGTCACCCCACCTCAGTACACGTCACACACCTGTCACCACCTCAGTACACGTCACACACCTGTCACCCCACCTCAGTACACGTCACACACCTGTCACCCCACCACAGTACACGTCACACACCTGTCACCCCACCTCAGTACACGTCACACACCTGTCACCCCACCACAGTACACACACCTGTCACCCCACACGTCACACACCTGTCACCACCTCAGTACACGTCACACACCTGTCACCCCACCACGTACACGTCACACGTCACACACACCTGTCACCACCTCAGTACACGTCACACACCTGTCACCACCTCCAGTACACGTCAAAACCTGTCACCACCTCAGTACACGTCACACATCTGTCACCACCTCAGTACGTCACACACCTGTCACAACCTCAGTACGTCACAAACCTGTCACCACCTCAGTACACGTCACACATCTGTCACCACCTCAGTACACGTCACACACCTGTCACAACCTCAGTACACGTCACAAACCTGTCACCACCTCAGTACACGTCACACACCTGTCACCACCACACACCTGTACACGTCACACACCGTCACACACACGTCACACACCTGTCCACCCTACACGTACACACCTGTCACACACACGTCACACACCTGTCACCCACTCAGTACACACACCTGTCACCCACCACGTTATACACCTGTCCTCCACACGTCAAACATCTGTCACCAGTACACGTAACACACCCGTCACTCCACTGCAGCACACGTTATACACCTGTCACTTCACCTCAGTACACGTCACACCTCAGTACACGTCACACACTGTCACCATCTCGTACACGTCACACACCTGTCACCCACTGCAGTACACGTTATACACCTGTCACTCCACCTCAGTACACGTCACACACCTGTCACCCCATCTCAGTACGTCACGTGCAGTACACGTTATACCGTCACTCCACCTCAGTACACGTCAAACATCTGTCACCACCTCAGTACACGTAACACACCTGTCACTCCACTGCAGTACACGTTATACACCTGTCACTTCACCTCAGTACACGTCACACACCTCAGTACACGTCACACACCTGTCACCATCTCAGTACACGTCACACACCTGTCACTCCACTGCAGTACACGTTATACACCTGTCACTCCACCTCAGTACACGTCAAACATCTGTCACAACTGCTGCACAATACAGCTGAACATGTGCAGTCCTACAGGTGACAACTTCCCTCAGATTACACTTTCGCCCACACCTGCACAGCGACACACACACACACCTGGTCATTGCTCAGCACCCTCCCACAACCACGCACGTAAGCATCTGTAACACCTGTGCACACCTGACCCACCAAACACCTATAATACCACCTGACCCATCACCCACCTTTGTCACTTGATCCACCACACACCTGCACCACCACACACCTGTACTACCACACCTACACCACCACACACCTGTAACACCACCATACCTGCACCACCACACACTTGTACCACTATACCTACACCACCACACCTACAGCACAACACACCTGCACCACCACACACCTGTACCACCACACCTACACCACCGTACACTTGCATCACCACACACTTGTACCACTATACCTACACCACCACACACCTGTACCCACACACACTTGCACCACCACCACACACCTGTACCACCACACACCTGCATACTAATTAACAAACTGCTTCAAGAGATAGTTATAAATCCGGAAAATAATAAGATAATTGCCTGGGGTACATCAGTCAGGTATTTTCTTCGGGTGGTCACGTGTATAATATGAAGTGTATGTATGTGTGTGTATATGTGTGTGTGTATAATGGGTGTGCGTGTACGTGTACGTGTAGTAGGATACACAACAGCTTCGTGAAACTCGTCTGAGAACATTTACTTAAGTGGGCAAGTTCCAAGTATACACTAAGATGAAACTGGATAACCTTGATCACATAATACCGTCAGGGTGAATCATACAATAGAGACAGGGAGAGATCATTACTCCTTTATGAGAGACGGACAAGGAACAGTTACAAGGTAGTGTTGGATACATGTCTAACCTCTAACAAAACATAAACCACACACTGTACAAGAAGAAAAATAGAGAAATTATCAGGTATTTTGGAAGGATCGTCATTAACAAAGGTGGGATGCAGAGTGAGGAGCTGGGGAAGAAATACGGTAAGTTTGTGACGACTGAAGCGAGTGTGGAGGCAGGGTGTGAGTGTGTGTGTGTGTGGCAGGAGGATGTGGGTGCGTGTGGAGGGATGTGGGTGGCAGGAAAGGAGGGGTGTGTTTGTGTGTGGGTGGAGGAGGGAAGGTGTATGTGGAAGAGGAGGAGGGATGTGTGGGGGAGGAGGAGGTGATGAGTAGAGGAGAAGGAGGAGGGTGGGGGTAGGAAGGAGGAGGAGGGGAGGAGGGTGTGGGGTAGGAGGAGGAGGGAGGAGGAGGGAGGGGGGGGGAGGAGGAGGAGGAGGGGTGGGGAGGGATGGAGGAGGAGGAGGAGGGGAGGAGGAGGGTGGGGTATATAGGAGTGGGGAGGAGGAGGAGGAGGGGTGGGGGATGGAGGAGAGGAGGAGGAGGAGGAGGAGGAGGAGGAGGAGGGGTGGGGTAGGAGGGAGGAGGAGGAGGAGGGTGGGGGTGGATAGGAGGAGGGGTGGGGTGAGGAGGGAGGAGGGAGGGAGGAGGAGGAGGAGGGTGGGGTATAATGGAGGAGGAGGAGGGGTGGGGTATAAGGAGGAGGAGGAGGGTGGGGTATAATGGGAGGGAGGAGGAGGGAGGGTGGGGTATAAGGAGGAGGAGGGGGGGTGGAGGAGGAGGAGGGGGAGGGAGGGAGGGGTGGGGGTATAATGAGAGGGAGGAGGAGGAGGAGGGGTGGGGTGGGTAAGGAGGAGGAGGAGGAGGGGGGGAAGGGAGGAGGAGGAGGAGGAGGGTGTGGGGTATAATGGAGGAGGAGGGAGGAGGAGAGGTGGGGTATAATGGGAGGAGGAGGAGGGTGGGGTATAACGGAGGAGGAGGGAGGGGTGTGGGGGTAATGGAGGAGGAGGGGAGGGGTGTAATGGAGGAGGGAGGAGGGTGGGGTATAATGGAGGAGGGAGGAGGGTGGGAGGAGGAGTGGGGTAATAGGGAGGGGTGGGGGAGGAGGAGGAGGAGGTGGGGTGAGGAGGAGGAGGAGGAGGGTGGGTATAATGGAGGAGGAGGGAGGTGGGGGATAAGGGAGAGGAGGAGGAGGGGTGGGGGTATAATGGAGGAGGAGGAGGGGGTGGGGTATAACGGAGGGAGGAGGAGGGGGGAGGGAGGAGGGTGGGGTATAAAGGAGAGGAGGAGGAGGGTGGGGTATAATGGGAGGAGGAGGGGTATAATGGAGGAGGAGGAGGGTGGGGTATGAGGGTAGTAAGAGGAGGAGGGGGGGTATAATGGAGGGAGGAGGAGGAGGGGTGGGGTGAGGAGGAGGAGGGTGTGGGGTATAATGGAGGAGGAGGAGGTGTGGGGGAGGAGGAGGAGGAGGGTGGGGTGTGGGGTATAAGGGAGGAGGAGGAGGGTGGGGGAGGGAGGAGGAGGGGTGGGGGGTGGGGGTAATGGAGGAGGAGGAGGGGTGGGGGTGGAGGAGGGAGGTGGGATGGGTGGAGAGGTGGGGTATAATGGAGGAGGAGGAGGGTGGGGTGGGGGAGGAGGAGGGTGGGGGTAATGGAGGAGGAGGAGGGGGGGAGGAGGGAGGGTAAGGAGGAGGAGGAGGGTGGGATATAACGGAGGAGGAGGAGGAGGGTGTGGGGTATAACGGAGGAGAAGGAGGAGGTTTGTGGACAAGAGGAAGAGTCACCACCACACCTGTCCATCGTCTCCACCTCCACCACTACCTGCCCTCTTATTCCACCACCCACGGCACTTATCTCCAACACTAACACCTGCCACAGTACAACCACCCTCCTCCATTACCACTTGTTATCTCTAGCTCCACTTGCCCACCCCCACCACTACCTGCCCTACTGCCCACCACTACCTGCCCTCCTGCCCACCACTACCTGCCCTCCTCCCCACCATTACCTGCCTCCTCCCCACCACCAGCCTCCACCAACAGTACCTGCCCTCCTTCCCTCCCCTTCATCACCACCATCTGCCTCCACCACCTGCTTCTATTACCACCCCGCGTCACCACCCGCTATCATATACATCTTATCTAAACAAATCTTGAGCAAATGAATAGTGATTAAGAGGCCATGTTAAGAGTGGTGTGTGGTAAGATAGTACAGAATTACGAGGCACTTGAACTGTGAGGCTCCTGAGGTTAGTAGAGCTTATGGTGGACCTGTCCCTCAACACCTGACTCCACATTGCTTCTTTGTTCATTAGATTAATGTACTCGCTGTTATACTCTCGCACTACCAGAGTGAACACAGGAAGAACGTGAAGAAGGTGACGACTACGCATACTTACCTGCGGATGTTGTCGTGTTGTGTGTGGCAGCGGTGGCCTCCGTGTGTCACTCACTCACCAACACCCGGGCCATCCACGGTCAACACGGCACTCACTGTTGTATGGTCCAGGGCCTCGCCACCATACACACGGCTCTGTCTGTCTGTCTCACTCACTGTCTCTGTGGGCCCTGTCCTTGCCCTGCTGCCTGACAGTACAAGGTCTCTCTCCTACCCGTCAGGTGTCTCTGGTAATTAACAACTTAAGGTATTGTACACGACGTCACGTATCACTTGACATTTCTGTCGCGAGGATCACAGCTGTGAGTGATGGACACCAATGATCGTTCGAGGGTCTGGTCGCGACGCCTCCCAATCTGTCGGCAACGAGGAGCACCTCGGGATCACACAACCCGACTGTTTTTGTGTGGCGCCACCAATCACAGCTCAGTGGCAGGAAAGTAAGCGACGTTGGTGGATGTTTCGTAGACCAATAGGCACGCTCTGTAGCAATTACGTCATAAGGATCCGCCCACCGGAATCGGCAGCTCTCACCGTGGTTGGTTGGATATCGACCCCCTCCACCAATGGTGAGCCCCGACGCCCGCAGGCAGGCAGTGCATCTCATATGACAGATGACACAGAGTATGTTTACTTCCAAAATTTACTTCCGTAATATTATCACGTGACGACACTTGCTTTCGATTCAGTAATTGTGTTAGGGGTGTCATATTCACAAATATTTTATGTGTTTTGCTCAGGCACGAGAGAACACAAGAGAAGGGATCAAGTTAGGGAATAAAGAGAGAAGAGAAGGGAGGTTCCCGCGGTGGCAACAGCGAAGCGCACGGGAATGTGAGGCTCCATAATTTGGTAGATTGACTGCGGTTTGTTGAGCGCCTCCGACCAGCCATTAAGGGCGACTATTGTATCCCAAATTTATTTCAGGTCACGGGATGTTTTCACGGATATGACATAGACTCCGCTTTATTGGCATTTTCTTGGGAACTAGAAACAGGGACATGTTAAATGACCTTACCCCTGGCATCGACGCGAGGCTCTATTAATGAACACATTTTCAGTGGTAGCTTTTGACCGGGGCTAAAGTGTCGGAGCCGCCGAGCTGTTAGGGTTGAGGACGCCGCCACGGGATAATAAGTTATGTCATAAACTTCCTCATAAACGCTAACTTTTCTCTCAAGCTCCTGAAGGATGACGCGTATCTCTTGAAGACTGTGATGGCCGACCACCTCCACTGTGATGTGTCTGTCTCTCCTACACCCACGTTGTTGCCTGATGCTTTGTTCCTGTTGTTGCCTGATGCTTTGTTCCTGTTGTTGCCTGATGCTTTGTTCCTGTTGTTGCCTGATGCTTTGTTCCTGTTGCTGCCTAATGCTTTGTTCCTGTTGCTGCCTGATGCTTTGTTCCTGTTGCTGCCTGATGCTTTGTTCCTGTTGCTGCCTGATGCTTTGTTCCTGCTGCTACCTGATGTTTTGTTCCTGATGCTGTGTTCCTGTTGCTGCTTGATGTTGTGTTCCTGTTGCTGCCTCATGCTTTGTTCCTGTTGTTGCCTGACGCTTTGTTCCTGTTGTTGCCTGATGCATTGTTCCTGTTGCTGCCTGATGCTTTGTTCCTGTTGTTGCTGATGCTTTGTCTGATGCTTTGTTCCTGTTGTTGCTGCCTGCTTTGTATGCTTTGTTCCTGTTGTTGCCTGATGCTTTGTTCCTGTTGCTGCCTGGATGCTTTGTTCCTGTTGTTGCCTGATGCTTTGTTGTGCTTTGTTCCTGTTGTTGCCTGATGTTTGTTCCTGTTGTTGCCTGATGCTGTTGTTGCCTGATGCTTTGTTCCTGTTGCTGATACTTTGTTCCTGCTGCTGATGCTTTGTTCCTGTTGTTGCCTGATGCTTTGTTCCTGCTGCTACCCTGATGCTTTGTTCCTGTTGTGCCCTGGATGCTTTGTTCCTGTTGCTGCTACCTGATGCTTTGTTCTGCTGCTACCTGATGCTTTGTCTGCTTGCTGCTTGCTATTTGTTCCTGCTGCTGCCTGATGCTTTGTTCTGTTGTTGCCTGATGCTTTGTTCCTGTTGCTGCCTGATGCTTTGTTCCTGTTGCTGCCTGATGCTTTGTTCCTGTTGCTGCCTGATGCTTTGTTCCTGATGCTTTTGTTCCTGTTGCTGCCTGATGCTTTGTTCCTGTTGCTGCCTGATGCTTTGTTCCTGTTGTTGCTGATGCTTTGTTCCTGTTGCCGCCTGATGCTTTGTTCCTGTTGTTGCCCTGATGCTTTGTTCCTGCTGCTGCCTGATGCTTTGTTCCTGTTGTCCTGATGCTTTGTTCCTGCTGCTGCCTGTTGCTTTGTTCCTGTTGCTGCCTGATGGTTTGTTCCTGTTGCTGCCTGATGCTTTGTTCCCGTTGCTGCCTGATGCTTTGTTCCCGTTGCTGCCTGATGCTGTTCCTGTTGCTGCCTGTTGCTTTGTTCCCGTTGCTGCCTGATGCTTTGTTCCTTGCTGCCTGATGCTTTGTTCCTGTTGCTGCCTGATGATCCTGTGCTGCCTGATGCTTTGTTCCTGTTGCTGCCTGATGCTTTGTTCCTGTTGCTGCCTGATGCTTTTGTTCCCGTTGCTGCCTGATGCTTTGTTCCTTGCTGCCTGATGCTTTGTTCCTGTTGCTGCCTGATGCTTTGTTCCTGTTGTTGACCGATGTTTGTTCCTGTTGCTGCCTGATGCTTTGTTCCTGTTGCTGCCCATGCTTTTGTTCCTGTTGTTGCCTGATGCTTTGTTGTTCCTGTTGCTGCCTGATGCTTTGTTCCTGTTGCTGCCTGATGCTTTGTTCCTGCTGCCTGATGCTTTGTTCCTGTTGCTGCCTGATGCTTTGTCTTGTTGTGCCTGATGCTTTGTTCCTGTTGTTGCCTATGCTTTTGTTCCTGCTGCCCCTGACTCTTTTGTTCCCGTTGTGCCTGATGGTTTGTTCCTGCTGCTGCCTGACTGCTGCCTGACTCTTTGTTCCTGCTGCCTGACTCTTTGTTCCTGTTGCTGCCTGACTCTTTGTTCTTGCTGCCTGATGCTTTGTTCTGTTGCTGCCTGATGTTTGTTCCTGCTGCTGCCTGAGGTTTGTTCCTGCTGCTGCCTGACTCTTTGTTCCGTTGCTGCCTGATGGTTTGTTGTTCTGCTGCTGCCTGTTTCTCCTTTGTTCCTGCTGTTGCCTGATGGTTTGTTCCTGCTGCTGCCTGACTCTTTGTTCCCGTTGCTGCCTGATGGTTTGTTCCTGCTGCTGCCTGGCTCTTTGTTCCTGCTGCTGCCTGATGGTTTGTTCCTGCTGTTGCCTGACTCTTTGTTCCCGTTGCTGCCTGATGGTTTGTTCCTCACACTGCCTCAGGTTTCACTTAACTTTTCCACCCAGCTTGTTTGCAGTTGTCAGCTATCACAAAGTTTACAGTTTATCTTCCCAATCGTAGTAGGAAGTGTTAGCAAGCTGTATGCTGTCTTAAATCTAAAGAAATTATAGTGTGTGTGTGTGACTCTTATCAGAACATTCAAACATATTGTATAATGTATTTCGACCTTATCCACCCTGAATTAGTTATATTTTCAAGACTGAAGGCTGAAACTTAGTCTTTTTTATTATTGCTTTATTCTTTTTGCCCGCTTGCTTTTAATGTTTTCTTAACTTATATTTATCTACCACCTAAGTCCCTTATTTATGTTATTTCATGTACTGTGCAACATGGTATTGACTCTTCTTTTATTTAAGGAACATCATTGTTCGTGAATAAATAAATTTATAAATGTATAAGCAGACAATCATGTATATTTTATGCAATGGCTGCTAAGAATAAAAATGTATATGGCTTATGACAGGAGTCTACGCTAAAGACAAGCTCGTTCTCTAGACAATAACACGTTTTCTATGATAACCTTAAATATTTATGGTAAAATTTAATCGAGAGATGGCGCAGCAGTCAGGGGCTGAACGTTAATTGAATGTAGTACAAGTTTCTCTATATATTCCTTCCTTGGTATAACACACCATTGTGACGTCACTAACAAGCCATTTGCCTGAGTGAGTCGTGAGGGAAGGATGTGCCGTGACTGGCTATTATGTGGTGATTATTTTTGTTATTAAGTTATTTAAACACAAGCTTATGTCGCTACTGTTCTCTGCGGTGAGTAAATTGTTGGTATTTTTATTTTCATAATTATGTTACATGTGATGTTAGAGAGTTGGTTAACCACCGCCATGGTAGTTTGTTAACCCAGCAGGTAGTTACTGAGTTTTATTCGTCATCAAATGGAAATTTATGTGAAAAAGTTTTATGAAAAGGTAATTGCAAAGATAAACTCCGCCATTTTATATATTATGCTGCCTTGGTATTAGTGTAGTTTATATTGGTGTTTGTAGTAAAAAATAATTCGTTGCCGTCGACGATTTGGTGAATTGACAAAAATTAATATGGTTAATATTTGTTTTTAGCCCGATAAGTATTTCGGATTTTGGTTAATATATAGAACTAACCCGCCAGGGCTGCATAGCGCCGATGCGGCCGTATCATATCACGTCTAGAAAATGCCTCAAATTTCACCATATCATAGGAAGTTCTTTCTGTTTAATATACCGGGGAAGTTAGGTAGGTTTGGTTGGTTAGGTCTGTTCTTACCCACAAATGTTAAGTAGCGTTTATTTTAAAAATATCCATTTTTTTAACATATTTCCACAAACTACAACAGTCTCCACTATAATATAACAATGAAAATCCGGCGTTTTTATAATTGTTTTCAATCAATTTCACTCGACTAAAAAACACCAAAATTCACCAGAAAAATTATTTTTCATGCCAAAATAGGCTAACCTATTACCATATACCTATACTACCCTAACCTAACCAAAGTACACCAGAAAAAAAAATATCTTATACCATCAATAGTGAGATGAGTGAAGGTTTATACCAGAAATAATTTATGGAATTGAACCAAAATTTCTGGAGATAATATTTATATAATAACGAACACGAAAATGGAAGTGAGAATGCACAGAACCTATTAGAACCTGACCTAACCGAACCTAACTTCCAAACCTGTACATTGTCGTTTAAATTTCCGGTAATACTGCAGCAGGCGGGTAACACCAGAAGGAGATGTACGGTTATGTTCGGTTGGTTTTTTTTCCATAATAGATCTTTGGATGACAGTAAGTAATAAAGTCATACAATAACTGTTTATGGTGTAACTATAGTGTGCCGTCTACAAAGATATCTCTAGTCTAATCTTACTCAACCTAACCTGGCCTAATCTAACCCAACCAAACTTATCCCGGGTCCGACTAATTACCCAAATGTAGCCAAATATAGCCGGAATGAAGTCAAAGAATGGTCCTACATGAATAAATCGGACTGCCAATCACTTCTCGACTAGTATTTGGTGTCAGAAAGTCACAAAAAATTGGAAAACTTACTTTAATCTGAGTTAATAGACCTGACATATCAGTTAATTCAAAACAGGTCCATACACTTGTATACATCCATATAAAAGTATGATGAAGTATTATAGCTACTTTCCAGTAATGTGTAATACGCAATATCTCTTATCAGTGTTATCACCAAATTATTAATCACTGAAATTATCATAGGGTTGACCTTAAGCATTAAAAATTACAGAATATAATTAATTTCATATGATCATGAAAATCTAGGGATGACTCTGTCATGATGGTGACTTGCTCAGAACATTAGCAGCATAATTTCAATGGTTAAATAAATGCTTCAGGCTATGCTTATCAACTACAAAATGATCAATCACATCTTTAATGAAGGCTTTCTTTCTATCTAATAATTTATGGCGCTGCACGCTGAGCATGTACAACGCAGACAGGCATTCAGTTGATACTTTTATCGAATCCCTGTCTTGACACGTGACTGCCAAACTCAGCCCAGCAATTTAGATTAATATGCAGTGTACGAAATGATAAACATGGCCATTGAACAAATAAGAAAATTCATAGGGATATGAAAGATTACTTTAGTATGTGGTTGACCAAGGCCTCTCAGCTTGAGAGTGTTGGTGAAATGGTATCAAAGTCATGCATAAGTACAGTAGGCATCAAGTAAATTGTAACTACCGTAAAAATCCAGCCATTCCATTCCTTGGTCACCTTGTAAATGAGATGGAAACCCACTTTAATACAGAGTCAAGGACATGTGCTGCCCTCTTCCAAATCATTCCAAATGGCTAGTAATCTAATAAGTGGTAAAATTATAAAATAAATAAATAAGTTAAAAATAACCTTGGCATGTTTGTAAAAAATTGCTATTTTGGACAATTGCCTTTTCCTCATCTCTCTCCCTCTTGAATTAAGGCGCTGGAAAAAACTGAATACCAAGAAAGAAATGTCGCCATCTAATTTCATTGAATCTCTCATATATTGTGACAGACATGTAAATTAGTATTTCTAAATCTGTATGAGCTACTGTGTATTGGTTGTGTCTCTCCAGTAGGTTCTTCTGAAGCTGAATGCTTGCTCTCTGGACTAAGGCACATTTAGAGCTGCCTGAGAAACAGGATGATAGTGGAAAGGTAAAACCTCTGATACTCATGGTCAGAAATCTCAACCCCTTGCAGTCTTTCAACACGGGTTGCGTCGGTAACAAGAATGATTTTTCCATTTTATAAACATTGGGTAGAGTGATCCAGACCTAAATTGCACCCTTAGAGGTGCATCTGCCAGCCCATGAAGCTAGTGGGAGGAACTTAGTGGTTGATAGGACCGGTCCACTGTTTCTGCATTTCTGCTTACAGGATGGGTGCTCTCAGTGTGAGATACTGCTGAACAGGAGGGGTCACGCCAGCAAGGGCACTTAGTAATGAAATTTGTGTAGAAAGGCCACGAGAGGGTTAACTGGCCTGGCTGTGGTGCATCATGATACTGAAATAGTTTTACAGGTCATGATTTACATGTTTGTTCAGAAAACAACAGAAGGCTCTTCACAAAACAAATCCTATTTGAATGCTGTGTATGGCGCCTCTGAAAACAAATTAGATTTTCTGTAAATAGCTCGCTGTAATTTTATTTATTTTATTCACATTCTCTTTGGAATCTTTGTCCATTTACATTGTACTTCCAAATTTGTAGTTGTGGTGTTCATAGTTGCCTTTTTAAGTTTTAGTGCAGCCAATAACATATTCTTATCTTCATATTAACTTATTTTTTAGTTTATTTACCTAATGGCCACCCACTACAGGTGAACCATACAGAGGGAAGAAGGCCAGTGGCCTGTGTAGGATCCCTCCAGCGTTTTTCATATTCTTGTATATGGCTGCTTTGAAACCCAGTTCTGTTCTCTGATTCCACAGTTTGAGCCTGTAGACTGTTCCATAGGTCTACCAGCCTCTGTGTGAAGAAGTATTTCCTTATATTTGTCCTGCACGATAACTTGGTGAACTTATAGTAATGTCCCCTCTCGTTGGTGGTGCATAACATCACAAAAAATGGCCCGGGTTGACATTTCCCATCCCTTTCATGATTTTGAATGTCCCTATGAGATCTACCATATTGTGTTGTCTGAAGAGTTGTTAGTCCTTAGGCACTCAGTCTACCTGGGTAATTGAGATGATGAAGTTCAGGAATCATCTTAGTCGCTCTGTGTTGCACCATTTATATGAATGTTAAGTCTTTTTGGAGGTAGAGTTTCTGTGCCTAAATACATTAATTCAGATGGGGACCTACGTGATACTTATAAGGTTGAAGGAGCCTTTTCTTAGCTTTATATTTGAAGGTACGACTTATAATTCTTAAATCTTGGTTATCTTTTTTCATTGCTGCCTCCACTTGTTGTGCCGCCTTCAGTGATTGGTTTATCACAATGCCTAGATCTTTTCTCAACAGTGAAAGTGTTTTAACAGGATAGTTGTGATTATGGTTGTTGTACCCTACATGGAGAGACTCACATTATATAATGATATAAAGCCTATGCCAGTCATGCAACCATTTGCACAGCTCCAGCAGATCTTTTTGCACGGTTGTGACATCATCTTGACTTTGTGCCTACCCAAATATCTTTGTGTTGTCCACAATCTTGACAATATGGTAATATATTGTCATCTATGTCATTAATGTAGGTCACAAATAGGGTGGGTCCAAGGACAGAACCCTTTTCTAAATTGAACTTACCCCATTCAATACCACCCTTTGAGCCAACTGGACATTTATTTTAATATATTGCCTGTGATGCCTTGTGCCTGAATCTTAAAGGCTAGTCGTGCATGTGGGACTTGTCAAACGTCTTAGAAAAGTCCATATCCAACCCATTCACTGGTAGACCCTGGTCCATGTACCCTGTTACCTCTTGAAGGAAAGTGAGTATTTATTAGGCAGGATTTTCTCCATGGAACTGTGTTGTGATGCATTGATAAGACTGTGCTTTGTCAGGTGTTGGATGATGGCACGACATTTCTTAATATTTAATCCTTATATTTTCATATACTGTACTGTATGTGATGTTAGGCTGATCAGCTTGTGGTTTTCTCCTGTACTTTTTCTACCCTTCTTGTATACTGGGGTGATGTTGGTTGATTTCCAGTCCTTAAACATTGTACCTTGATCCAATGATTTACTGAATTGGAGTTTTAATGGAGTGTAAATCTTGTTTGTTACTTCCCTTATCACTTTGGTCTGTGCTCCGGCTACTCTGCCCACCTTATTCTAATAGTTCTTTTAATTTGCTTGACATATGTAAGTGTTTAGTACAATTGTGGACCAATGTTTACTCGCCGCGGTGAAACTGAGGCACGGGAATGAGTCTCTGAACTGACTTACCCAAACTGTTGTATCTCGTTTGGGGTCGATGCTGCTTCATTTTGGAAGGGAGCGAACCTTTGACCCTGACTTTACATTTTTCTGTGATAAATTTTGCACCCAAATTATATTTTCATTTTGTATCATATTTCAGTGAGACTGATCTGATAAACCAATACAATTTAATTTATACTTACTCACTGGTGGTCTTTTTTAAGAATATATATTTTTTTCTAATACCCCGCTGGGCAGGGGTTGATTAGGTCATCATAACTTCTGGTTTCATAATTGGTGCTCATTTCTTGTAATGTCTTTAAATGCACAAAAGATATCAACTTACGTAGATGCAATATTGTTTGATAGAAGGTTACAGTACAGTACTTGAATATCAAATGGGTGGGAAGGCCGTTGATATGTCCTGTCTTATCAATGTTAAAGTCGGCCTCTCCTCCTGGAGTGTAGAAGTTGGTCTCTTTTCTTCAAGAGTTCATATTGGTCTGAGGCATCACGTGGCAAATCTAGCATCGTTCTAGGCGTTGTCACATGACTAATATTGGCACGGAATATCTTGGGCCTAAAATTGTTTATCTCCTAATCAATAAATTATAATTATATACTTATTTGGTCAACTTATTATTTTACTATGAAGTAGTTTCTTATGAAATTTGGTAACAAAACAAATCCTAGTTTAGGAGAGAAAGTTCTCACATCCTGCCAAAAATAAGCTTCCTTTCTTACTAGTCATTCAGGCGGTACATTCAAAAGCACTTACTTTGTTAAATCGTCCGTATCACTAGAAACTTAAGACTATAATCAACATAATAATATATTACTTTGTATAACGAAATATTTACATTTATACAGTCTTGTATTTACATTTATCGCGTCCTTTTTCGTGACAGTCGAAGTGAAATGTCGTCGGCTGTGAACTCTCCAACACCCTGTATTTACTGGATAAGTTAATTTTGAGAGTAGTTTTGCTGTGAAATATATTATACCTTGAGGGTCTTGATGGAGAGAAGTTTTGCTGTGATATATATTATGCCTTGAGAGTCTTGGAGAGAAGTTCTGCTGTGTGATATATATTATACCTTGAAGGTCTTGACAGTGTGTAGTTCTGCTGTGTGATATATATTATACCTTGAAGGTCTTGACAGTGTGTAGTTCTGCTGTGTGATATAAATTTTTACCTTTGAGAGTCTTAGCTCTGCACTATTAAAGATATGTGGAAATTTAACCAACCAACACTTGAATAAATGTTTGCAAATTAGGTTCAGTGGTTTTGGTTGGATTGGTATATTTTGTCAGGGTCTTTTTAAATCTTTCAGATTGTGTGGTTGTCTGAGGTGAATGGCTGGTTGGCTCAGATGGACTGCTGACTGGCTGGATCTGGTGGACTGGGGACTGGCTGGCTCATGTGGACTGCTGTCTGGCTGGCTGGCTTTGGTGAATGGCTGGCTGGCTCAGGTGGAAGGTTGTCTGGCTGAAGCGAACGTCTGGCAGGACAAGAACCCCACTAAGCAGGTAAAGTACTTGTGACAATATGCAATGTATATATGTAAGGTATTTATGAACATTGTCTAAAACTTTTTGAATTGCAGGTTTGTGTGGCTGACTGTGGACCCACAACAAGGTGCTGCCTGGAGGTGAGTGAGAGGAAGGGGGTGTGGGTGGGTGGGAAGGTTGACTGGGTGAGAGAGTTGGGTGGGTCGGAGGGAAGGTTAGGTGGGTGGGAGGTTGGGTGTATGGGTGGGAGGGAAGGTGTCTGCATGGAAGTGAGTGTTTGTGTGGATTGGAGGTCCTCCCATCCACACACACTCCCTTCCATCCACACGCCCTTCCTCCCATCCATGCACCAAACCTCCTGTCTACTCACCCTTCCTCCCATCTACACCCCCTCCTGTCCATCCACAAACCCTTCCTCCCATCCACACACCCTGAGGGTCTTTTTAAATCTTTCAGATTGTGTGGCTGTCTGAGGTGAACGGCTCAGGTGAATCGTTGACTGGCTGAGGCGAACGTCTGGCAGGACAAGAACCCCCACCAAACAGGTAAAGTACTTGACAATATGTATTATCTACAATATATGTAAGGTATTTATGAACATTGTCTAAAACTTTTTGTATTCCAGGTTTGTTTGGCTGACTGTGGACCCACAACAAGGTGCTTCCTGGAGGGTGGTAAAGGTTATTTTTGTAATAGTAACAGCACCATAGTTAGTAGATACACAGTAGTAACTCCGCCTTGTTCGACTGAACATGCCGGTCCCCAGCCCGGATAAAGGAGGAGGGCTACTTGATCACCACTGCATTACTTCGTTTTCAGACCAATTTATGGTAGTACAAGGTACAGTAACTTTTATTTTATCAAGAAGACCATGTTTACTGTATATTTACCAAGACCAGCATTGTAGTATTTTATATTTGGATAGTATCGATAAGCGAGATATTTACATATACACTCACTTTCACTAGGTGATACCACTGTTTAGTATGGCAAGACCACCCAGGTAGTGCACAGTATATTAGGTTTTGTAGACATGAAAAATTTAACAATAAAAGGAATTGTATATAGTTTATTTTTTATTATACAATACATATGCGTTTGCAATAATACTCCGGAAGTTTGATACAGAAAGACTACTAAAGAACTTGTCAAATATCCTTATTGTTCCTTGGGTTATACCTGCGCTGTCTAGGTACTTAATAAGACTACCCGAATGTCAAGTAAACTGTTATGAATTAAAACCTTTATTATCTAGTATTAGTGCAGGAGGAAATCGGAACTTGCAATGGTTGGGAACATCTCACAAGATAAAAATGTTACTCATTTCGAAATAAGCACTTTACCACTATGCTAACATTATTTCTCTGCAGATATATTGTGATGGAGGCGTCATCACGATTTTACATAATCTATCAAGTATTTCTTAATTCAACGTTTATAAGGGACTCCACTTAAGGTTAGTTTATTACACTAGACCTTAATGATTATATCATGTCAGGTTTTGGTCTTACACAAGATTTAGTTTGATCTAATAATGGAAGTCATGTACTTTGTGAATAATTTTGACCTGATACAGTACAGACCAGTATATGGGGATTTCTAAATTTATCTAAATGACCAAGTCTTTAGTTTTCATCACTTGTCAATTTACTAGCCTTTTGGGCATGTGTGTGAATGATGAGGGGGATGGTAGATGGGCAGGTAGGTATGGGTGTGATATTTGCTAGGTTTACACTGTTCAACACCCTTCTCACATCTGTCCCAGGCTGGAGTTTGGGGCCCCAGGACAGTTTTGCGAGATATACACACTACCACTATACCACCATCAAATTACCTGTATTTCATTTCAATTCGTTACAATTTTAAACTTGACTATTGGATTTCAGTCTAGCTTTTTGTACAACTAAGTTAATTTACATTGCGTGTTGTACATAATAAGTTTAAGCAAAACTGACTTCCATTCACCAATTGGTGTGCAGTGTCCAGATTGTCAACATTCCGTAAGTAAAATCCCTACCGTACTTTACTTTCATGTACTATTATTTTCAAAATAATAGTATCTACAGAATCAAAAACGTATGTTTACGGACATGGCCAATGAATTTCAAAATGAGCACCGACACCTGTTGTTTCTGAGGGAGTCATTGTCTAACACCACCATAAAGTGCATTTTTGATAATGTACATCTCGTAATAACTACACCGAAATGAGATATTACAATGCCTTCTGTAGGTACAGTCCTGTGGTCATCATGAGTTTTGACTTTGCATACCCAATAGGTCACTACATGGGCATTAGTTTGTAACGGTTCTACATAGGCTGGCACTTGGATGTCAATTAATGATAAGTACTATACATAGGCTATCATGTTGGCATCACAGAGGATCCATATACAGTACTTCACACCTCACCTTCAGGTGTAAAGTTCAGTTTACAAGATTATTATTCTACTTTTCCAAAATCGGAGTATAAAAGATGTCAAATTTATTCAGTGTTTATTTGATTATGAACATATATTGTATAATGAGAGCCAACATTATATTCTCTTTCTCGATACAAGTGCCAACCATTACACAATATATCTACCTTTTTTTATAAGGTTTGGCTTGACTCAAGGACTACTTTTACGTTCTTAAATATTACTTTACTTTAGTTTAAATTATTTTCTTAATTGTATAAATAAATTTGTGCTTAATAAGGTGGTAGTCATGAAGGTGTGGGCTGGTTGACAGTAGAGAACAGTCCCTGACGTCATCTGGCCATCTTGCTTTCACATCTGGTGCATCGATCTTGTACATCAACCACCTGTAATGAGATTTTGAATTTAGATCATTCTTAATTAACATTAATGTATCATTACCAATACACAACATTTACCCCAAAATTTCTTGCATTCTATACTTGCATCCTTACATAGATCCATACACTCTAGCACCAGCCTTCCTGCTCTTATGGCTGCAGCAGTCTTCTCACAGGCATCATTACAACATTCCTTCACAGTACATGCCATTTTACTCAAATTCATAACATTCACTTTTAACCATTGTATGAGCACCACCAAAGCCCGTGCCCGAGTGTCCTCCACTGCCCAACGTACGAGCGCTCCTCCACTGCCCAACGTACGAGCGCTCCTCCACTGCCCAACGTACGAGCGCTCCTCCACTGCCCAACGTACGAGCGCTCCTCCACTGCCCAACGTACGAGCGCTCCTCCACTGCCCAACGTACGAGCGCTCCTCCACTGCCCAACGTACGAGCGTCCCTCCACTGCCCAACGTTCCTTCTTCCCCTACCCTTCTCACAAAGCAAGTCACTCATTTTCAGTCTTGCATTCCGTGGTTTTTAGGATAGCCATACAAAGGTAACTTAACTGGGGAGGCTGCATTATCATGTGTTAATCCTGCTCAAGGTTGGTTCTGTCACTTCCTCTATGTTGGCTTTCAAGTACTGTACATAATCTGTTACCTGCAATATATTTCGAGTTATTTATGAAGAATGAAGGTTTAACATAATATCCTTCTACCACTAGACCACCTGTACTTAAACAGACGCCAACTGTACAAAAGTTCTCAAATTTTAATAATTTACAAAAGTAAATTTTATCTAACTTGAAAATAAACTTTGTATTCATGGTAAGTAAACGTAAGTGGCTCATAAAATAGTTTGAATTAATGTTCTTTAAATATATTAGATAAAAAACACGTTTTTATATAATAGATAGCTTCATACTGATTTGGTTCAGTCTAGGTTAGCTACAGTATGTTTAATCTTCAGTAAGTTGGGATGGTTAGGTTAGTAAAGTTAATAGAAACCCACCCACAACAACTTGCTTTACTTGCTATATTTACTGCTATACTACTACTAATTTTCTCAAATAACCAACAGGCATGTAGTCCTGTATATTTATACCGTCACTACGACTTGTATAAATTTACTGTAATATCAGTCTCTACTGACAGTCCACACAGCAATCCAGAGCCCTCCAACACACACAGCCCTCCAGCACACACACCCTCTACTGCCCAGTGTAGGGGCATAGTGTTGAGTGGTTTATGGGAAGACCATAATAGCCAAGATATACAAGTAACTTAACTGATGAGGCTGAAGTAACATGCTGGGTGCTAAATCTTGCTTAAGGTTCTGTCACTTTTCCATTGGCCTTCACATACATCAGCGGTCACCTGCAACATGTTTCAAGTTGTAATTTATGAAGAAAGAAAATTAAACTTGCAACTTCCATCTACCACTAGACCACATTTACTTAAACTGCCCCCAACTGTTTACATAAATCATTACCTCCACATTAGTTTGCTCAAATTACTGCTACACTATGCTGTAATACACATCTCTACAATGCTTCATGCACTATACATAAGAAAACATAAGAAAATAAGGAGTTTGCAATAGGCCGGTTGGCCTGTGCATGGCAGCTCCTGAAAAATACCAGTTTTCGCAGCGAGTAGGATTTGAACCTACGCGGGAAGATCCCATCTGATTTCTAGTCAGACACCTTAACCACTCGGCCATCACTGCTTATTCAGCCATCACACAAGGTTTACTACAGCTCTCTTACTAGACCTTCCCTCCCTCATGCCCCCTTAAGTGTCCCCCTCGACAGCTTGTTTACACTTTGTTTGAACGACAAACTTCACCACAACCACCTGCCCACCTCGTGTACAATTCCTTCTTATGGGAACACAACCCTATCCTATACACCACCACAATCCCCCCCCCCCAACCTGTATACAACACCCCACACCATCTCACAAAACGTTAAATGACCCCACAACAAGCCAAACCCACCTACACTCAGAACGTTACATGACACCACAACAAGCCAAACCCACCTACACTCAGAACGTTACATGACACCACAACAAGCCAAACCCACCTACACTCAGAACGTTACATGACACCACAACAAGCCACACCCTCACAAAACATAAATGACACCGTAGCAGGTTACACCCACCCACACCTTCACACAAAACGTTAAAATTGACATCAAGGAATACCGTTGTGTAGTGTGAGAAGATTCACTTCTCACGCTCGTGGTCTGTTCCCACATACTACACCACACTTCACTTATGACCTCATACTGCACTACACCAATAACAGAGGGTTTTGAACTGTTGTTGGATTTGTCGTCAGTCCTTGATCTGAAAAAGAAAACAAAATCACCAGAACATAGAAATACGTAGATTGGTTAAGGTTAAATTGATCTTGAGCTGAAATAAGCTGGGGGATGAATCTTCAAGCGAGCCAAATATTTTAACGAGGTTAATTAGATGGTTGCTGCCTTATCTATCTATACATTTTAACGGTGTCTTTACATACATCTTAACGTTTATTTTAGGAACTTTTTTTTCAAGTAGACAACCAACGAACCTCTAGGTTGGGTTACGTTACGTTTTTGGGTTAGTTTGGGTTGTTGAGCAATGAGTTTTTCCGATGGTAAAATCCATGGTTGTCCACTTTTAAAAATTTACCAGCTCCCTGCCCCGCCCCGTCTCGTCCGGCTAAAATCCGTAATAAATTCAGTTTCAACTCCCAGAAATCGTAGTTAAAGAGTAAGCAAAGAACTAGCCAGTAAAAATTATATCTTAATTCCGCAAAAAATCGTTATATTTTTGTTAAACCTTGTCATTGCGGCGGTTTTTAATGCTGAATACAGTGGCGGTGATGAACGCTTGGGGAAATGTGTAATTATTGAGTTATGACCAACCGGCTCCGCCAAAAGTGAGTTGGGCTTCGAAGCAAGATGGAAAATGATAAATAAAAAAAAATAAATAATGCAGTAATCATAACCCAATCTGGTCATTGAACTCGCTTACTGGTTAAATGTGCTTATAGTTTAGGCTCGTTTGTCGTGGCTCATTTGTCGGTATATTTGCCTAAAACATTAAGAAATTATTGGTTAGACGTTAGAGAAACACTTGATATAATACTAAACCATATTAATGTATTTGTTTAAGATGCAATGTAGGTACGATAGGCCTTACAGCCCAGTGAAATTTGGGGATACGACCCAAGGAGACAAGTGAACTGCAACAACCGGCTTCCAAGTTTTTTACTTAAATCTGCATTTATTAAGCCATAATCAAGTATATTAAACACTACCCAAAAGAATAACCATTTCTCTTGGCCATTTTGACTGTAGACAGTCGGGGGAAAAATTTACATGTATATAATGGAGACTGGAGGTGCGGGGCTTACCTGCCTGTCAGTTGTAGCCAGTGAGTGGTCGGTGTAGAATGGGACGAAAATGAGTTAGTCGACACTTTATATACGAAGGTTGAGAGTGACGTCACGAAGCTTCATTGACTCATTTTGAAGATTTATTGAAGCATTTGAAGCTTCGAACATGAATATACGTTAAAATACGTAAAAACGTAAAATTTATGGCCCAATTTCACTCCCTCCCTTCGTCCACCTACCACCTCTCCCTCTCCACATACCACCTCTCCCTCCCTCCACATACCACCCCTCCCTCCCTCCACATACACCACCTCCCCTCCCTCCCTTACCACCCCCCCTCCCTCACATACCACCCCTCCCTTCCTCACATACCACCCCTCCCTCCCTCCACATACCACCTCCCTCCCTCCACATACCACCCCTCCCTCCCTCCACATACCACCCCTCCTCCCTCCACATATACCACCCCTCCCTCCCCTCAACATACCACCTCTTCCCCCTGCACATACCAACTCTCCTCCCTCCTCCACACCACTACCCCTCCCTCCCTCCTCCACATACCACCCTCCCTCCCTCCTCCACATACCATCCCTCCCTCCCTCCACATACCACCCCTCCCTCCCTCCCCATACCATCCACCCTCCTCCACATACCACCCCTCCCTCCCCTCCACATACCATCACTCCTCCCCCCTCCACATACCACCCCTCCCTCCCTCCCTCCACATACCACCCCTCCCCTCCTCCACATACCACCCCTCCTCCCTCCCACATACCACCCCTCCCTCCCTCCCTCCACACAGACCACCCCTCCCTCCCACACCTACCACCTCTCCCTCCCTCCTCCATACCACCCTCCCTCCCTCCACATACCACCCCTCCCTCCTCCTTACCACCCCCTCCCTCCTCCACATACCACCCCTCCCTCCCTCCTCCACATACCACCCCTCCCTCCCTCCCCTCCACATACCACCCTCCCTCCCTCCTCCACATACCCACCCCTCCCTCCCTCCACATACCACCCTCCCTCCCTCCACCTACCACCTCTCCCTCCTCCCTCCACATACCACCCCTCCCTCCTCCACATACCACCCTCCCTCCCTCCCACCCACCACCTCCCTCCCTCCACATACCACCCTCCCTCCCCTCCATACCACCCTCCCTCCCTCCCACATACCACCTCTCCCTCCCTCCCTCCCCTCCACATACCACCCCCTCCCTCCCTCCACATACCACCCTCCCCTCCTCCACATACTTCCTCCCTCCACATACCACCCCTCCCTCCCTCCACATACCACCCTCCCTCCCTCCACATACCACCCCTCCCTCCCCTCCATACCACCCCTCCCTCCTCCAATACCACCCCTCCTCCCTCCACCTTCCTCCCTCCCTCCCTCCACATACCACCCCTCCCTCCCTCCACATACCACCCCTCCTTCCCTCCCTCCACATACCACCCCTCCTCCCTCCATACCACCCCTCCCTCCCTCCCTCCAAATACCACCCCTCCCTCCCTCCACATACAACTCTCCCTCCCTCCACATACCACCTTTCCCTCCCTCCACATACCACCCCTCCCTCCCTCCCTCCCTCCAAATACCACCCCTCCCCTCCCTCAAATACCACCCCTCCCTCCCGTCCACATACCAACTCTCCCTCCCTCCACACCTCTCCCTCCCTCCATATACCAACTCTCTCCTCCTCCACATACCACCTCTCCCTCCCTCCACATAACCACCTCTCCTCCCTCCACATACACTTCTCCTCCCTCCACATACCACCCTCCCTCCTCCACATACCACCTCTCCCTCCCCTCCATACCACATCTCCCTCCCCTCCACATACCACGTCTCCTTCCCCTCCACATACCACCTCTCCCCTCCCCTCCACATACCACCCCTCCCTCCCTCCACATACCACCTCTCCCTCCCTCCCACACCACCTCTCCCTCCCTCCACATACCACCTCTTCCTCCCTCCCCTCCACATACCACCTCTCCCTCCCTCCACATACCACCCCTCCCTCCCCTCCACATACCACCTCTCCCTCCCTCCACATACCAACTCTCCCTCCCTCCACCCTCACCTTCCCCTCCCTCCACATACCACCTCTCCCTCCCTCCACATACCACCTCCCTCCCTCCACATACCACCTCTTCATCCCTCCCTCCACATACCACCTCTCCCTCCCTCCACACACCAACTCTCCCTCCCTCACATACCACCTCTCCCTCCCCTCCACTACTACCTCTCCCTCCCTCCACATACCACCTCTCCCCCCCTCCACATACCACCTCTCCCTCCCTCCACATACCACCCCTCCCTCCCTCCACATACCACCTCTTCCTCCCTCCCTCCACATACCACCTCTCCCTCCCTCCACATACCACCTCTCCTCCCTCCACATCACCACCTCTCCCTCCCCTCTCGTGGAAGTAGATTATCGACTTCTTGGGAGGTATTAACATAATTCCAAAGTAGATTATCATAGAAAACGTGAAATTTGTATCACAGAAAATGAGAAATATCTACTTTCCGGGAAAGTTGGTTATCTACTTTCCCGAAAGTGGATTTTTTCTACTTTTCGGAAAAGTAGATTATCGACTTTTCTGGGAAGGCAGGGGCTAAGCCTCGCCCCTCAGAATCACACTAGTGGTGAGGAGGAGAAATGGCGTGCAGTACTGACAATATTGTTAAAGTTCGTTTTGCAAACAAAACTGAAACACTAACAAAATTTCTGAGGACTCGATTTGTCATCCCTTCAGGTCGCCTCAGTCCTCCGTTTTCTCTCATACTTAGAGTGTACCCGAGACTTGGTTATTCATAGTAATGACACAGAATTACATACCACCCCCCTCCCTCCTCCATCCCTCACCCTCCACAAACCACCCCTCCCTCCCTCTACATACCACCCCTCCCTCCCCTCCACATACACCCCTCCCTCCACTACCACCTCCCTCCCTCCACACACCCCTCCCTCCCCTCCACATACCACCCTACCTCCCTCTACCTACCACCCCTCCCTCCCTCTACATACCACCTCTCCTTCCCCTCACATACAACCCTCCTCCTCCACATCCACCCCTCCCTCCTCTACATACCACCCCTCCCTCCCTCTACATACCACCCCTCCTCTATCCCAAACCACCCCTCCTCCCTCCACATACCACCCCTCCCTCCTCTACATTACCACCCCTCCTCCCTCTACACCACCTCTCCTTCCTCCATCCACCCCTCCCTCCCTCCACCTACAACTCCCTCCCTCTACATACCACCCCTCCCTCCTCCACATACCACGTCTCCCTCCCTCCCTCCCTCCACATACCACCTCTCCCTCCTCTCCCTCCCTCCCTCCCACATACCACCTCTCCCTCTCTCCCTCCCTCCTCCACATACCACCTCTCCTCCATTCACCCACCCCTCCCTCTCCTCTACATACCACCCCTCCCTCTATCCCCCAAACCACCCCTCCCTCCCCTCCACATACCACCCCTCCCTCCTCTACATACCACCCTCCCTCCTCTACATACCACCTCTCCTTCCCTCCACATACAACCCCCCTCCCTCCCTCCAAATACCACCCCCTCCCTCCTCACCATCCACCCTTCCCTCCCTCCACATACCACCCCTCCCGCCCTCTACACTCACCTCCCCTCCCTCCACATACCACCCATCCATCCCTATACATACCACCCCTCCCCTCTCTCCACATACCAACCCTCCCTCCTGTCCATACCTCCCTCTCCTCCCTCCACATACCACCTCTCCCCTCCCTCTACATACCACCTCCCCTCCCTCCACATACCCTCCCTCCTATACATACCACCCCTCCCTCCCCTCCACATACCACCTCCCTCCTCCATCCACAAACCACCTCTCCCTCCTCTACATACCACACCTCCCTCCCTCCACATACCACCTCTCCCTCCCTCTACATACCACCCCTCCCTCCCTCTACATGCCACCTCCTCCCTCATACCACCCCTCCTCCTCCCTCCCTCCCTCCCCCTCCCTCCCTCCCTCCACATCCACCCCCTCCCCTCCCTCCACACAACCACTCCCCCTCCCTCCCTCTCCCTCCCTCACATACCACTCCCTCCCTCCCATACCACCCCTCCCTCCTCCACATACCAACCCTCCGTCCCTCCACATACCAGCCTCCCTCCTCTACCCACCGCTCCTCCTCCCACATACCACCCCTCCCTCCTTCCTCACCAACCCTCCCTCCCTCTACATACCAACCCTCCTCCCTCTACATACCACCTCTCCTTCCCTCCACATACCACTCCTCCCTCCCCTCCACATACCACCCCTCCTCCTTCCCACATACAACCCTCCCTCCTCTACCCACCCATCCCTCCCTCCTACACTGCACCCCTCCCTCCTCCACATGCCACCTCTTCTTCCCTCCACACAACCTCCTCCCTCCCTCTACATACCTCCCTCCCTCCCTCCACATACCACCTTTCCTTCCCTCTACATACCACCCCTCCCTCCCCTCTACATACCACCCCTCCCTCTCCATACCACCTCTCCTTCCCTCCACATACAACCCCTCCCTCCGTCTACATACCACCCCTACCCCTCCCTCCACATACCAATCCTCCCTCCCTCTACATACCACCCTACCTCCCTCCACATACCACCTCTCCTTCCCTCCACATACCACCCCTCCCTCCCTCCACATACCACCTCCCTCCCTCCACGCCTGCTTCCCTCCCCTCCCATACCAACCCTCCGTCCCTCCACATGCCAACCCTCCCTCCTCTACATACCACCGCTCCTCCCCTCCACATGCCACCCCTCCTCCTCCACATACCAACCCTCCTCTCTCTGCATACCAACCCCCCTCCCTCTACATTTCCAGCCCTCCTCCCTCCACATACCACCCCTCCCTCCCACTACATACCACCTCCCTCCCTCCACATACACCCCTCCATCCCTCCACATACCCCTCCCTCCTCCCTCAACATCCTCCCCTCCCTCCCATCCACATACCCCTCCTCCCTCTACATACCACCCTCCCTCCCCCTCCACATACCACCCCTACCT